TTGAAAGTGAGTCAACAAGTGAAAAACCTAAACGACCACGAGAAGAATCAATGGAAAATATTCTAACTAGTGAGGAACCTAGGAGGAGTACTCGACGACGAAAATCTGTTTCTTTTGGACCAGATTTTATAGCACTATTGCTTGAAAATGAGCCTCAAACATTTAAAGCAGCTATGTCTTCGTCAGAGTCAATTTATTGGAAAGACAATAGTGAGATTGAATCAATTTTAAGCAATCACACTTGGGAATTGACTAATCTTCCTCGAGGAAATAAACCTTTAGGATCAAAATGGATCTTTAAAAGGAAAATGAAACCTGATGGGACTATTGACAAATATAAGGCTAGAATGGTAGTCAAAGGGTACAGACAAAAGGAAGGTTTGGACTACTTTGACACATACTCTCCAGTAACAAGGATAACATCAATTAGGATGTTAATAGCACTAGCAACAGTGCATAATCTTAAAATCCACCAAATGGATGTAAAGACAGTCTTTTTAAATGGAGAGTTAGAGGAAGAAATTTACATGGAACAACCTGAAGGGTTTATAGTTCCTGGTAAAGAAAAGAAAGTGTGCAGACTTGTGAAGTCACTTTATGGACTCAAGCAAGCACCCAAACAATGGCATGCTAAATTTGATCAAATAATGTTGGCAAATGGATTCAAGATTAACGAATGTGATAAATGTGTTTACACTAAAAACGTTATGAATCATGAAGTCATTGTTTGTTTGTATGTTGATGACATGTTAATAATAAGTAAATAAATTGACGATATAAATGCTACTAAGCGCATGTTGTCCAACAAGTTCGATATGAAAGACTTAGGAGTTGCTGATTTGATCTTAGGGGTCAGGATTATCAAAACTCCCCAGGGACTAGCATTATCTCAATCTCATTATATTGAAAAAGTATTGGATAAGTTCAATTACTTGAATTTCAATGTAGTCAAAACTCCAATTGATTTAATTTGTACATTTAAAAAGAATGAAGGTCAAAGTGACTCTCAATTGGAATATGCCAGAGTGTTGGGAAGTTTGATGTATATTATAAATTGCACGCGAAGTAAACTGAGTCGGTACACTAGTAATCCGAATCAAACTCACTGGATGGCTATGAAACTTTTGTTGGGTTATCTAAAATGGACACAACATTATGCTTTGCATTATAAAAAAAATCATGCTGTACTTGAAGGATATAGTGATGTAAATTGGATCACCGGGTCAAATGATGTAAAATCCACGAGTGGTTATGTATTCATATTTGGTGGAGGAGTTGTCTCTTGGAAATCGTCCAAACAGACATACATTGCTCGCTCCACAATGGGATCTGAATTCATTGCTTTGGATAAGGCTGGTGAAGAAGCGGAATGACTCCGGAATTTCCTAGAGGATATTCCATTCTGGCCTAAACCTGTTGGACCGATTTGCATACATTGCGATAGTCAAGCAGCAATAGGTAGGGCAGGGAGCGTTATGTACAACGGGAAGTCTCATCATATACGACGTAGACATAACACTGTAAGACAACTGCTCTCTAGTGGAATTATCACAGTTGACTATGTAAAGTCAAGCGATAATGTGTCAGATCGACTAACGAAAGGCCTAGTGAGAGAGGCAGTTGAAAGATCATCTAAGGGAATAGGTTTATGTCTTAGGACAAGTCAGCATGACGGTAAATCTATCTAGCAGACTGGAGATCCCAAGAGCAAGATTCAAGGAGAAAAACAAAGTTGTGGCTGACGGTTCGACATTGTCAATTAACTCAATCCATTCTCATGATGAAGACAATGTTCAGGAAAAGGTTAAGACTTTAAGGCTTGTTAATGAGGTAATAAAGCTTAAAGTTTTTAATGATTTGCTAAGTTTGGTAGATTTGACCAAATAGTGTATCTACGAGATGACACGGTTAGAAATCACCTATGTGAGTGTGAAGTGGAAGCCGCTTCAAAGAAAATTTTATGTCAAAAGTCTATTCTCTATACACTCATGAAACCAGGAGGTGTTCATGGCTGAAACGAACACAACCGTAAGAATCATAAACAGTAAAGGGTTAATTGTGTGACATATGGTTGTCTAGGTATACACCAAAGTTCGACGGTTCAAAGATATCACATCTACCTATTGACCGAGTATATCCAACATATGTTTACTACGGAAAGTCCAAGGGGAAACCTACTTATCCAGATGCAATTAATCCTTGCTTGTTAAGTACACAATTGTCTGTGCATTCCTATGTTATAACTATTACCCATCAATGTGGGGGCTTGTTGGGTATGTAGCAAGAATTGATGAGAAATAGAGGGAAGGAGAGGAATTTGAAAAGTTTAGAACTTGAAAGGTTGGGAACTTGAAAAGTCCTTTAATGCTTTAATGAAAAAGGCAATTGTCCCTCATCGGTAATGGAAATGAAAATAGGAGAGTTTAAATAAAGGGATAATGCACAAGTACCCCCTCAACCTATGCCCGAAATCCCAAAGACACACTTATGCTATACTAAGGTCCTATTACCACCTGAACTTATTTTATAAGTAATTTTCTACCCCTTTTTAGCCTACGTGGCACTAGTTTGAAAAAAAAAGTCAATCATCGTTGGGCCTACAAGATAGTGCCACGTAGGTAGAAAAGGGGTAAAAAATTATTAATAAAATAAGTTCAGGGGGGTAATAGGACCTTAGTATAGTATAAGTGTGTCTCTGAGATTTCGGGCATTGGCTGAGGGGGTACTTGGGCATAGGCTGAGGGGGTACTCGGGCATAGGCTGAGGGGGTACTCGGGCATAGGCTGAGAATTAATTCGCTGCAATTGTATAATCTGTTTTGCATACAGTTGAATCGAATTAAAATGTATGTATATTGCATAATTATAAGTGTATAGCAAGAAGTGTATAGCAATATATACACTTATGTTGTATAAAGCTAGAGAAAATTGTATTTCACTGCAATTGTATAATTCGTTGGCCTTTTTCTCTGCAATATTTGAAGTAAAATGTTTGCAAATTGTATAATTAAGTGTATAACACGAAGATATACATTTTTGCATGTGTATATACAATTTTCTCTCGCTTTATACAAAACAGAAACAGAATTATACACTTCTGTGTATAAAGCGAGAGAGGCGAACGAGAATGGAGAGTGGCGAGCGAGATTTTTGGGAGAGAGACGCTGTCAAATTTAGCTAATGTTTGCTATGAAGCACAATTAAATCAAACCATAGCTATTCCATTTAATTCAGGTTATTAGTTTGCTATTATATACAATTTCCCATTTTTTAATAGGATAACAATTCCTTAATTTTTTCTCAAAATCATTTAAATCTTAACCTAATTTCTTTCAATTACACTCCAATTCCAATTGTATTTCAATTCTAGCCAATTATATTTCAATTTTCTTCATTCCAAATTAAATTCTCAAGACTCATTTATTTTAATCACTCATACAATCAAATCAGATCATGGTCATTTACGTCCATTCGATTTTAATCAAAGGTTTAGATTTATTAGTACCTCTTTCTTATTTTAACATCAAAGGATCCTAAACCCTAATATTTTTCTTTTGCTCTCCCTCTCTTTTCTCCATTTTTCTCCGTCCAGCAGGCTGTGGTCAAACCCCCGCATCGCGTGTTCTTGAGCCACCTGCAATGGCAGTCGTCTCCCTCTCCTCGTCTTTCTCTTCTCCTCTGTTTTCCTCTTGCGCCCGTCTCCTTTTCTCTACGCCAGATCAGCAGCCACTGGAAAGCCTCCAGTACGGCAGCATCTTTAGCCATCAGCGACAATAGCAAGCTGACAACGATAACAACAAGAACAACTCCAACAGCCGACGAGGACAACAGTGACCAGGCGACCTCCGGCGAAAACCACAACAACATTAGCTATGGTGAGAAGCAACGAGTTTAATGACAATAACGATCAACGTTTGACGACAGATTTGATCGGTTCGAAGTTGAGATTTTGATCTACTAAAGACGGATCTTGTTAGGATTCCTCCGGGGTTAGTTTTCTCTTTTAAGATATTTTGATTATTACTTTCATTCTTAAGAACAATCATCCTATACATGTCTATTATAGATAGATTTCATTTTTCTTAATTTAGTATCTGAAGATAATTTATTCTTAAAAGTAAGACCGTTTATTATTCTTTTACTGATCAATTGAGATAACACCTTTTATTCCAGCTAATTTCTTTGATATTTATGTAATTTTTTACTGTATATATTAGTATCTCATTGCTTATGGTGAACTCTAGCATGCTATTTTATGTATCTGTAATCAGTGATTAAATCATTTCTTTTTTTAATTATATCAAGTTGTCTGTCTATTTTGATTATTGGCTTACTGTTTGTATATAGATTAATTGTTAACCAATTTTTCTTGTTAATCAAATTCGATTCGATCTTAATTCAATCGATTTTTGTCTTGCCTATTATAACTACGGTTTGCCAGATTTTGGATCGAGTTGTTAAGTTAACCTTAATTTACTTATTTCTTTCTTGTTTAGCTTAAAGTTTGTTAATTTTTACTTGTTTTGATATGGCATAAAATAGTATGTAAAGGCAGGTAAGACCCGTGATTCATATACATTTATTTCCTTTATTTAATAATTATGTCATCGCTGCTTATTGACATTTTTTCCTTTGTTTAAATTAAGCGATACCAATTTCTTACTTGTGCTTATTTGGTAAAAAAATAAATAAATCTGATTTGACCCTCCTTTAATCAAGGAATAATAATTTTATAATTGATCCCTAAAATATTTTCTTTCCTATAATTTGACACCTCTCTTATATTATATAAGAAAGATATTCTTATTCATCTTACTCACCTTGAGATGGTTTAACACTCTTACACATTCTTAATACTCACCTCACGCTTACACCCTTTCACACGGTTAATCACACTCTTACTCACTCACTCTAACATATGCTTCTTCACTTTAATATTAATGCGCTATTTGGTAACAAGAAAGAAAATTTCATTGACTTTTTCAATAAAAAAAGAATTTTGTTGCTTTGTGAGTGTGTTTTCTTGTTGTGTTGCTGTTGTTGACACCCAATTTTAAACCTCCATCATATAAATTAATCATTTCGAGCTTCTTCGATTTTCAAACAATTAAAAATAATTAATTTTAATTTTTTTAAAGATATATATATATATATATATAATATGTGTTTTGCTTAATTATGTATATGATTATTATATTTTATGATTATTCTAAAATCATATCAACAATATTTTGCTTTAATTAAATTTTTGGATAATTATTTTAGTTATATAAAAGTTTATATCTCTAAATTAATTAGTCTAAAATTAAGTTATTAATTTATTTCGTTAAAATTAAGAGGCTCATTAATTAATTTACATTAACTCATTTTGTTTAAGTTTTAGCCGAATTTAGTCATTGTTTAATTACAATTTTCCGCCAAGATCTTAAATCCATCAAAAGAGCAAGCTTTTGAGCCGTTTCTTTAAAATTTCAACCAACCCATCTCCTTCTCCTCCCAAATCATGCCCAACCCATTTCTCCTTTACCAAATAACCCATTTTTCCAGTCCAATATATTTATGGATTAATTACCTGAATATACAACTTAAGTTTACATATTCTCCATATTTCCCTTATATTTTTAAAAAATACTAAAATTCCTATTTTCCCTAAATCTAATCTGGTGGATACATTATTAAATTAGAATCTTAACTAATTAAATATGATGCATGAATTTACTCTTTATTTTCCCCAAATAAATTAGAATCCTAACCAATTAAGTCTTACCCCTAATTTTTTACTTTTTATTTTCCCCAAATAACAAAACCCATTTACTCCACTCCCAATATTAAGGCATCACTTTCTCAACCTTTCATCTTCTCAATTTTGAAACTCAAAATTGGTGCTCTCTGTCCGCTATTTTCGTCCATGATTCTTGAAAGGTATTGTGTTCTTCTGCGATTATGCCTTTTTATTCTTCTATTTTTCTAATAATTCATGGATCATCCGTCATTTAGTATTGCGATTACTCAATAGTCACTTCAAACTCTAAAAAAATCTATATTTCTGAGGATCCAAAATTGGTTGAAAACGAGTCTAAGAGCTTGCATAATCTTCTAACAGTAGATAAGCGAAGTTCGAAGAAGCATGAAACACAAAAAGAGGCACATGCAAAGACACCCAAGAAGAGGGGTAGAAAGCTTGCAATCGCCATATCCAGACCTCCACTGCCACCGGTACGTATTTCGATTTTATTTATTTTTTGTAATTTTTTTTGGTCACATGCAATGACTTTTCTGTATTATCATAAAAAATATTTTATATTTTTTAGATTATTCATTTGATAAAGAAAATCCTATTTTTTTGTACATTTTGTTTATTAAGTATGACTAATGTATAAATAAGTTAAAGTTAAAAAAAAAAAGGTCAAAACCCAGCTGCCCTTCTTCTTGGGTGTCTTTGCATGTGCCTCTTTTTGGATTTTATGCTTATTAGATCTTTAATAAGCATATAATGTTGATTTCCTGTATCAATTATAACCCATAGCATATAATGTTGTTTTTCAATTTATCAGATATAGTATATTTGATCATGTTGTTGTCAAAAGTGTATGTAATTTTAATTTCAAAATTATAGAATTATATGTATGTTTAAATTAACATAAGTATCATTTTGACTGGTTTGCATTGTGTAGTTACAATTATGTATCAAGCACAATTTATTTTTCACGTATCATGTTAAAGTTTGTTGTTGATATAAAGTATCAAGTAGATAGACTTATAACGTATAGTTACAGTTGTGTATCAAGTACTACTTTGCATTTTTGTATCATGTTAGGCTATAAATTTTCTGTTAAGTATCATTTCCATTGACTTATGATATGTAGTTAGAATTATGTATCAAGTTTTGTTTTTGCATTTTATGTATCATGTTAAGCTTGTTGGTTGTATTAAATATCAATATCATTTTTTTCAATTGCAGAATATGAATTATGTGGTTAAACAGATTCCAAAACACTCTCTTAAGTTTGGTTGTACTTATAATTCAAATATCTTAAGAGACTTAAGAGTTATCAATGGGGGTTGAGGGTATCAAATTATTTAGGAATACTATATTTGGTTCATATATGAATATTCCTAAATGTAACTACCAAGGTCAGATCAACAAGTGTTTACTTCTTTTAGATGTGGAGCAAGACAATCCAGCCGAGGAACTTCACATTCGACATGCTAAAGGAAATATTTCATAGTAAAGGTTAAGATATTTCCTTTAGCATGTCGAATGTGAAGTTCCTCGGCTGAATTGTCTTGCTCCATCTCTAAAAGAAGTAACACTTGGTGATCTGACCTTGGTAGTTACATTTAAAAATATTCATATATGATTCAAACATAGTATTCCTAAATAATTCGATACCCTCAACCCCGATTGATAACTCTAAGTCTCTTAAGATATTTGATTTGTAAGTACAACCAAACTTAAGAGAGTGTTTTGGAATCTGTTTAACCACATAATTCATATTCTGCAATTGAAAAAAGTGATATTGATACTTAATAGAACCAACAAGCTTAACATGATACATAAAATGCAAAAACAAAACTTGATACATAATTCTAACAACATATCATAAGTCAGTCAAAATGATACTTAATAGAAAATTTATAGCCTAACATGATACAAAAATGCAAAGTTGTACTTGATACATAAGTGTAACTACAGTTATAAGTCAGTCTACTTGATACTTTATAGCAGCAACAAACTTTAACATGATACATGAAACATAAATTCTACTTGATAAATAATTGTAACTATAAAATGCAAACCAGTCAAAATGATACTTGTTTTGTTTTAAACATACATATTAGTGTATAATTTAAACTTTAAATTTACATACACTTTTGACAACAACATGATCAAATATACTATATTTGATAAATTGGAAACCAACATTATAACAATTCTTAGCTGCAGGATCCAACCCACTTTTTTGGGGCCACTCAATTCCAACTCCTTTAATTTTCCCAACTCATAATACAACAATACCCAAATTAGCCCACCTTTCCCTCTATACCCAACCTGACCCAACTTTGTTCACGAAGAGAGACTCATAAGCTTCTAAAACGGAGTTTGGAACCTAAATAAGCCACAAAAATATAAAAGTGACCAAAATAAGCCACTATTTTAGTATGTAATTAAAATAAGCTTAGTGGACGAAAAAATTTCACTTTATCTAATTTTCTAAACGTTTTCCTTTAGTGTCATAACGTATATTTTAATATATAACAGAACTTTTTCTTCCACTTTATAAAGTGAAAATTTTTCTTCCACTTTACAAAGTGGAAGAAAATCTTACACTTTATAAGAGGAATATTTTTGCACGTTTTGAAGAAGCTTTTTCAGTGTTGTCATACGATCATATGATTTGACATATCATAAGAACAAAAAAAGAGTTATATTATGTATTTTATTTTGAAAAATCTTCCAATCTCTATTAAAGGACGTTTAAACATAGTTGATAGCACCTACAACATAAAGTCTTCTATTTTTCTTCATTTCAATCTCAAAAAAAATTGTCTTCTACACCTAAAATTAAAGTTTCAATTTATTGGGATGGTGAAATTATATACGACAGAAATACTGTTTATTATAATTGTCCTTCCAAACACAATGGTATATATCCAATTAATTTTTTACAAGGCATACCATTTAAAGTTTCAATTTTTTACAAAGTGGAAGATCTACTTTATAAAGTGGAAGAAAAAAAATTACACTTTATAAAGTGGAAGAAAAAAGTGTAAGAAAAAGTTCCATTTTATATTAAAAATACACGTTATGACACTAACGGAAAACATTAGAGAATTGGATAAAGTGGAACTTTTTCTTCCACTAAGCTTATTTTAGTTACATACTAAAACAGTGACTTATTTTGATTACTTTTATATTTTTGTAGCTTATTTAGGTTCCGAACTCCCCCAAAACGTGAATCCATCAATGTTCTTCACGTTTAACAGGAATGGCAGCGCGTAAACAACGACGCAGACGGAAAGCAGCAGCACCAGTATGCGTACAAGTGCAGGCTTTTCCTTGTCGTCTTCTTTCTTTCTCTCGACCAACAGTGCGCCTAGTACTGTTCCAGCTTTGAGGCAGACACGTTTCGTCCTTGTGGCTGCGGGATCGCTCCACGTAGCTCTCAAGGACAATGGATCGATCAAAGCCGTTCGTCTTACTTTTCTCTTGTGGAATGAGGTGAAAACTTCATGAAAATGTGTCTCCCTTAATTTCTGAAAGAGGTTGGGATTTTGAATTTGGAGTTGGGCCCTTCTAACTCGATTCCCTCCCTTTTTCTCCTTATTTTCATCTATAAATAGCTCATCCTTCTTGATTTTTTGGGGTTGGTTTTTATTTTGACTAGTGGAAAAATAGGAAGAAAGTAGGAAAAATGTGGAGAAAAGTTTAGAGGAAAAATTGGAAAAGCTGGCTTGAAATAGTGAGCAAAGAAATTACGAAAAGAAATTCATCAAGCATAGTCAAAAGAAATCAAAGTAGAAATTAGGACGGTAGCTGAGTTTCTGAGTCCTCTGTTTGGAATTCGAGTTTCCGTCATTGCTTCATCTTTAGTTGTGGAAGTCAGTTCAACCTCCCTAACGTTTTTTTCATATTTATTTTTATTTATTTATTCTTTTACGCAGCGTTTAAGATTGCTGTTTTGTTGTTGTATTTTTGCCATCTAGCATTGGGTAGTGGCAACTGGTGTATGCTTAACGTGTTACTTTTAAAGGATTTCCCTTAGATTCCTGTTGATATGAGTCGAAAACTTTGTTGCTTTAGAGTTAGTATGGTTGATTCTCCATTTCACCTCTTAAGTTTATTTCGTTGCAACAAGGTTGTTGGTATGTTTGTGATGTAGTACGCTTCAAATCTGTTTAGTCGAGTGCGCTTCATTCATGATTTTGTTCAGTTTTCAACATTTCTTTCTATTTGTTTACCTGTTACTTTAATAAAAATTTGTTTTTCCTTTCTCTTTCTCCTCAATTCTAATGCAGTTATGTCACTGTTAGATGAGTAAATGTAAGAAATTGGTTCCTCGAGTTTCATCTTAATTTTGAAACCCTTTTTTTGTACTAGCTTTGATCTTGCCGAGATTAGGGGTGCCTTGTGAATTTGCTTGACCATCTCTTTCATACTAGATATCTAAGTGAGTTGGTGTAGGTCTCAACTATGTCTACTTTGGGTCGAAAGTAGCTATTTAGAGTAAGTTTTGAATAATGTTTTTAGATCGTTGATCCATGTCTACATGAGAATTTGTCCTAGAGCTTATTGTGATGTTTGTTATCTTCGGCTGCCATCTCTTATTTGATTGCTAAAGACACAAGTGTTTGGATCTTTAAATTAATTTGTTAAGAATTGTATCCCTTTAACCCTTCACTGTTAAATATAGTATAGGAGTCATATTTCCTTTAATCCGCTGTTGATATATAGTGTTCTTAATCTCCCTCTAGATCTTATAAGTTGTGTGTCTAGTCGAATTCATTTGAGTGTTTTGGATTTTGTGATATAAATCCTCGTGGACTATTATCCGATTTGGTATTTTCTCTGTTGTCTGTATTTCTTGTTCTTAAAGCTATCTTATACATTGTGGTTCATAACTTGGGAGTTTAATCGTGGCTTTATGTATTCATAATTGGTTTGCTTCAAATGCTTATCAGTAATGGGAAACCTTTTGAAACAATAGCTTAAATATGGACAAGTTGATCATAATAACATGCTTTAAACTCCTATTATTTGCACCCATCGAATTCCTATTTTTGTCGCTGAATTAGTAGTAATTTTTTTTTTCAGATTTCAAGTGTTTGATTAGTGATTTGATGCATCTCTTCATATTGATTGTGGTATTCATTGCTCGAGTTTAGTGTATAGATTATTTAGAAATCATGCTTGATAAAAGTTCATTACTTTTGGGTTTCCTTAAGATATTAGATTTTAGGTTAGGTAGAAGTTAACTTCTCGGCATCTAACATCAGCACATAAATTTACTTGTTGATAGTGCTAGAATAAATGTTTTAGATAGCAATTTGAAGTTCACTGTGCATTTAGTAAGGTTTTTTTTTGTCTTTGCTATGAGGTGTATTATGTGTAAATTAGGTATAACATTTTCTATAATAATATTCTCAAGTTATAGCATTAGAGTTTGAATTTCATTGTATAACATTTAATATCTCAAGCTATAGTACTTAAAAAGAAAAATATAATGTTAATTTTAAATTATTAAAAAGAGTTGTTAAAATAAAAAAATAAATTAAAAAAAGGACAAATTAATAATGGAAAATGGGATCTTTTATTAAATAAATTAAATATAATTATTTAATTACCCTTAATAAATTAGCATGTATTAAGGGATTTTAAAAACTTTTAGATTAGTTAGTTGCCTTAATTTTCTCTAATTAGTTTAAATGATATTAATTTTTGATTTAATTCCTTAAAAAGCTCTATCAGATTGGCATGAACGTACAAGTCATTTTGTTTTCCAAAATTGCACGATTCTTTTGAGATTTGCAGATTTTAGTTTCGTTTTTTATTCGTAGTAGAATAAATTTTGGCGTTGGAAACAATTTGGTTTGATTTGATGGAGAACTTTGTGTCGATATTAATTAAACATGGTGAAAAGTGGAATTCATCGTATTGGTTTTAACTATGATTTGTTTGTTTTAATTATGAATTGTTGGTTTTAATTATATTTGTTGTTTGTACATGAATAAAAGTGTTCGATTTTTATATTATTGTTAGGTATGAAATATAGTTTGTATGTTCTTTTTTTTGGATAAACAATTATGTTACGTATAGCATCTTTTGAAAAACAATAAGTAAATATAAATGTGTTTGAGTTGTAATTAAATTGAAGATTCGTGTGTTAATTGATTTGTGAAGAAAATAGAAAAACGTACAGTATGTTTATTAACTAGATAAATAATAATTAGATATAATTCTTTGTACAGGTGAAGTATGACAAATGAATGAATAATGTCTGAAAGGTATATAAAATTTGTATTGTGTATGAAATTTATAAGAAATTTGTATTTATTGTGTATGAAAGTTTATATTTTGTTGAACTTACAATATATGTTTCTTTTTATATGTTTCTCTTGAAATTATAATATATATTGTATTAATTTTGTACAGAAACTGTATTCTTTTTGTTTAATTGAAATAGTGTATATGTTAGTGAATGATATATTAAATGTGTATGAAGTTTGTATGAATTATTTTGATAGGATCAGATACAAAATCAGAAATCGGTCCACATTTCAGACCGGTTACAACAACAGATTCCTTTAATCCAAAATGTAACTTTGTATCATTTACATTTATAACAAACATGTCATCCTGTCATTTTCAGTTTCAAGAAGAAATGTATGTCGTAACAATTGACATTGGATTTTTATGTTATGCAAATTGTAAAAAAATTCAAACGGTGTTTCTCGTAAGAATTTTTGAAACTTGTCTTGACCTAGGAAGGTCAGCAGATCCGCAAACACATTCATATTAATACATGAAGACAAATGTGTTTGTATCTTTTTCTCCTCTAAAATTGGTAAAATTAAATTAATACGTTTATCATACTATATAATGTCATATAAAATCATATATACATTGCTATGTTAAATGGACATTCAATTCAATTCATACACAAAGCATAAAAAAAATTGAACATCAGTTCATACACAATGCATACAATATTAATACATATTTGACGTTTTAAAAAAAAAAATTTATGAGTTTTAAACTAAAAACTACTACTCAAACAATATCACTATATTAATTCATACATCAAAATTAAAACATAAAATATACTGTTGTAATACTTATAATAATAGTAAAAAATATATGACATACAACATTAATACATTATTCATACATTGATATTGTAATAGACAATATAGCATTTCATACACATAGCATACAAAGTTAATACATTAATGCATACATTCCTATAATGAAATATAGCAATTATTTTATACACAAAATCATACAACATTAATACATTATTATTTATCAAAATCATACTTTGTTGTAATCCAATTATATATTCACAAATCATACAACATTAAATCATACAATATTCATATATAATTATAATATACAATACTAAAATCTCAACTCATATATAAATCATACAAATTTCATGTACTATACTATTGACAAACAAAATCAAAATTAAACACACTTAAATAGTACATTTTAATTGAAATTTGAATTTTTTTTACCACCTTAAGAACTTTTTTTTGTTTATTTGTGGCTTGTATCTCTGACGTACCAATTTCAATGCCTTTTGCTTTTTTTGATTATGTATTTATTAATTCGTCAACAAAATCAGACTCATATTCAGATGATGTTTGAATTTCTTTTTCTTTCCTCTTCTTTCCTCTTTTCTTTGCCTCTTTGTTTTTGTTTTTTTCCATCTTTATTAATTCGTAAGCAAAATCAGACTCGAATTCAGATGATGTTTGAAGTTCTTTTTCCTTTTCTCTTCTTCCCTCTTTCCTTTGCCTCTTTGTTTTTGTTTTTTTCTGTAACGACCTGTTTAGTCGTTTGAGCAGTAGAGTTTATTTCTGGTAATATCTGTCTGGGTCAACGGATCCCACGACGGATCGTCATGGGTACGACGGGCCGTCGAGGGGGTCTCGTTCCAAAACACTTAGACCCTGGAAATTTGGGTACTGAGATCGACTCTCTGAACTTCACGACGGAATGGCAGGACGGACCGTCGTTTGCACAACGGACCGTCACAAATCTTTCTACAGAATTAACTCTCTGAACTTTGTGATGGGCCTGCAGTACGGTCCGTCATGACTGCGTAACCCTGACTGAG